TCGAGGAAGACCCGAAGATGTTTCGATCATACACCAACGAATTTAAGTACAATTTAAGAGACAAACTTGATATCAGTGAAATCATCGATATCTTCACTATGATGATATGGAAAATACGCCACTCGAGTCCCAAATGTGGTTTCGTATGAATTTTACGAGCGAGTGGTGTATTTTCCAGTAAAACACACGTGTCTATATAATAAAAGTGTATAATACAGCTAGTTTGAGTGTATTGATGGAGAAAATATCTGAGTTTGAATAAGGTTGCCTTTTTTCGTCAATTTGCAGTTATTATGATTAAGCCGTGAGCATCCCATGTTCATCTAAAAATGTACCGAAATATTTGATTTATGATTTTTGTTGAATATCACATATGGTCATCTTAATGCTAAATTTCTTCTTAGGTGTAGTTATAACCATATAGTTTTTTTAAAAAATAATAATAATTGACAGTTTGTTTGATGCACGGTATTTGAACACATTTCCAAGTTCTTCATTAAGAGCTGTTTTTAGTTCTGTGGGATAATTTGTAAAGTAGAAGATGTCTGTATCATTAGCTAAAATTGTAAATGTAAATTATCTCTTGTTCCCCAGGCTCTCGTATTGAGCAACGAATCTCGGTCAAAGTCAACCGCGGGAGAGATTGTAAACTTGATGTCAGTGGATGCGCAAAGGCTGATGGATGTAATGACATATATAAACATGGTGTGGTCGGCGCCTTTCCAAGTTGGAGTGTCGCTTTATTTCCTGCATCGCACGATGGGGTGGTCGATTTATTTTGGCCTTGCTGTGTTGGTGCTTTTCACACCACTGAATTTTTTGATTGGCAGGATAATCAATAAGCTGCAGGTATTATTCGACGGTACACTTAAATGAGATCAGTTAATGAAGTCACATTACATTTATGGTACGCCAAAAACGTCGAGGAAATTTGCGGAAATCTGTAAGGAGGCATAGAATAGAAAAAAAGAATAGCGACAACAACATTGACAACAACAGCAGCACCAAATAAAGCGCGATATCATAGTTGCTGTTGACAGTTGTCCATTGGATAGTGATTTATCTTGTGAATACTGTTATTCGCCCTTTAAATAGCTGGACCAGGTTAAATAAAAATAGGGTGGGCTGTTGGTACATAGGGTGCTAGGGTCAGGGGGCTGCCGAACACTACAATGTTACTACATTTTACCATGACTTTGTTATTCGAAACCTGTGATGGAGAAACCCTTTTTTTTTAGCTAGTTTCCGAAACAGTCAGGCTCCCCAAAAAGGGTCGGAAAACTGTGAAGGATATGGTTTTTTTTTTTTTGTCCTTCGTGTTTTAACTTGCATCCTGCATTATGTGGAGANTAATTCAGTTCATCTCCATGCTTTATTGTTTCATTTTCAGGTCGCTGTCACAACATTTGCAGTGTATGTTCTCACAGGTCACAACCTAACCGCTTCCAAAGCATTTGTAGCCCTTTCGCTGTTTGGAATTATGCGTTTTCCCCTTGGGTTCTTTCCAGATGTGATTGCATCGTGTATACAGGTGAGTGCTGAAAAAACAAGCGGAACACTGAATTACGGCCACGCCAGAGTGTTGCAGCCTGGCTGAGGTTACTGATACAGTTGTTCTCAGTGCTTGTCATATTCTACCTTCCTCTTCACTGCAAAATAAATTAATGATTTGAGTTCACACGGCATAGCCAATACATTTTAAGATCAGTCTAATTTGTAAAATGAACGTTCATACTCTCTTTAAAGGGTTCCTTTTAACCAGTTTACATTGTTCACAGAGGGGCTTTGTCAGGAAAACCGAAAAGGCTTTTCCCAAAGGGGTCTTGCTTACTTGCGTCCTTGTGCTGCTTTTTTTTTTTCTCTGTTTTAAGGCCCGAGTGTCCATCAAGCGCCTAGAAGAGTTTTTAGATTTGGAGGAACTAGACCCCGATAGTGTCCAAAGGAAATCACGTAAGAATGAAGAAATAGGTAACCTGTAGGCATCTCGAGATTAATCCTTTCCTTCCGTTTACTTGAACCAAAACGTATTTTAAATTAGCCACTGTTTTTTACTCTCATGACCTGGGAAAACGTCGTTGCAGGTTTTGAATTATTGTGTTTCCCATTAAAATAAAGACAGAGAGTAATTAAGGACCTTAGTTGGCCGGGAAAAAGCTGAGTGCTACGGCGTTCCAACGAAAGGCTATCATGTTGCACAATGAAGTATAGCCGAGCGAAAACTTTCTTGCAAACCCAATTTGTAATTGTTTGTTGGCATTTTAACCTGTAATGTTACTTCAAGAAGCCCGTACCCCTAGTATATGTCAATTTTAATTGTAGATACGTTTTGTAGGCTCTGGGGTAACTAAGACAAGATTGTTTTACCGTCTGTTCACGAAAGAGTTGTTTCAATAGTTTTTTAGCTGTTTGTTCTATTAGAGAGCAATTCAGTGTACTTTTCCCAAGTTTAGTGTTACATAATTATTGTTGCTTTAACGATGTCCATTTTCAGAACTTACAGACAATTAAGATTATTCTGGGAATTTGGGTGAAATTTTGTCTGCCATAGTTACCCGCTAAGACGTGAGGCGGCTGAAGTAGTACACTGAAATAAGTTGATATGTGGCTTGTTATCTGGGTTATTATCAACTGCTTGTTAACCGAGAGTGAGGTCTTTACGAGAAAATCTAAAACCGAGACGTTGCAGTATTAATCGAGCTTCCCGTATTAATCTTTTTCCCGTAAAGACCGAACGTCCGAGGTTAATATGTTTTTTTATTGGGTGGCGTTTTTCTTTGTTTCGCAGGCCAGTAATTGGCCCGTGGGCATAACAAGAGAATAATGCCTAGAATTAGCCAATCAGAGCGCGCGTTATATCGGCTAAAAACACAAGCCATATATTAAATGCCATTTAGCGATGAAAAATAATGATAATAAAGTGTTTAATCCTCTTTCACAGCTACCTTACTTACCTCAGGAATGGTCAGCGTTAGGAGTGGAGTGTTCGGCTGGAATAAGAAAGACGCGCCAAAACTTCATTGGTGAGGAAATGTTCATAAGGACAGCTTGAAAAGGATTTAAGAGAGATTATGGCTACCTGGGCTTCAATTATAAACTGATTACCTTGACCTTGTCTATCCTAAATAAAAGGATTGCAATACAAAAACAGTGCCAGAAATGGGAAGACCGTAATAGCCACGTGTAGCATTAATTGTCAGTTTTGAAAACAATGATGTTTTTATGTTTGAATTTTCTAATGTTTTACAGTTTGAAAAATAGTATATTGTATTGTAACTCTACGTCTCCGGACAGAAAATATGTAGTGATCAATCATTTTATGGACGGTTTCTGAAACCGTCTGAAAAGTGTCATACTAGCTTTAATTGCAGTTGCCTAGTCTGCTCGAAAACGTTTTACGTTTGTTTTCTTTCTCTGTGTTCTTTTTTGTTTGTTCCAGTATCAATGTAAATATTCCAAGCGGTTCACTTGTCGCCGTGGTCGGTCAGGTTGGATGTGGAAAATCTACCCTGCTATCTTCTCTTCTTGGAGAAACGGATAAATTACATGGAGCAGTATTTGTGGATGTACGTAGCTTATAGTATTGTTTTGTGTATCCATTTACTGCATCTGTACGATCGATATCCTCTAAATCATTTGGATGATTACCTATCTGAGTGCTCGAGGATAATGGCAGGGCAGCAATTGTCTGAACCACAGACGTTACTCCTCTATCGTACTTTTTTCATGTCATTACGCGAAACATTTCTTTTGCCATGTACTGACCAAATGCAACGGCACCAGGCGCGACGTGGGAAAAGAAGTAACTGTTATTGTTTCTGTCCTGAAACAACTGCGGTTTGATCAGCTTTATTATTATGGCTTGTACTTTCATTCTTAAGTTAAGAGCTTAAAAGCAATGATTAGACATTATAAAGGCAAGGAATAACGGACAACTGCCTGATTCTTTAATTTACAGGGTTCTGTGGCATATGTATCCCAGCAGGCCTGGATTCAAAACGCAACTGTACGAGATAACATCCTTTTCAGCAGAGCTTTTGATTCCGCTCGTTATGAGCACGTGATTGACGCGTGCGCTCTGAGAACAGATCTGGAAATTCTTCCTGCTGGTGACTCAACAGAAATTGGAGAAAGGGTGAGAAATAATGTTGTTTTTTTTGTGTTAGGAAAATAGAAACCAAACCATAACATAGATAAGGGAGGGATAGATAAGGGAGTTTTATGGGACTTGTGGACGTTTTCTACGAAAAAAAAATCTTTTCACGTTTCATCTTCTTTTGTTACATAATACATCAGGGTATAAACCTCAGTGGCGGTCAAAAACAGCGAGTTAGCCTGGCACGTGCCGTATATTTCAATGCTGATATCTACTTCTTGGACGATCCACTCAGTGCTGTGGACGCTCATGTCGGAAGGAAACTATTTCAAAACGTCATCGGACCAACTGGAATGCTCCGAGAGAAGGTAAGTTACGGCGTACACATAGCATTGAACGTTTATGTCAAATGCGGGTCCAACGTTGCTATGCATAACGACAGAAATGAAGTTAAATTTCGAAGAAATGTCCTCCCAGCTTACACTTTCATAACGCTCCGACGGTTTATTCTACTCATAACTCCACACCAGAGGGGTGAGGGGAGCAAAGTCTTGGGCGAACCACATAGCGATGCATGGATACGGAGCGTGCGCTCATGTCCAAAAACGGTTGCTAAGGGAAAGAGTTCCCGAGCCCAGAATCAATCGTTCCTTAACTGCGCAACACCTGGGAAATTGTGATTGCAAAGACTGCGCCTTTCGCTTAAAACTTGCGTGAGGGGCAATTTGAAGCTGGTGGCCGCAAGATTTTCGTATAAACATTACATTCCCCCTTCTGGTTCAAAGCTAGCAATAGTCCAAACAATATATACACGCCTTTGGGACTCGTATTGACTTGTATTGTTTAACTATTTTTCGACATTTCAAATTAACAACGCCCCTGAAAAAGTAAAACTTCACAAAATTTTATTTTATTTTATTTTTTCCTTAGTACCCCAAATTCTAAGCAGTGTCTCATACAATGGACGAGCTGGACAATGCTTGTTTGTCTCAAATGTACTCTTTTACTTGGTAATTCGTTACTTTCAATGAAAACCGCAGGCATGATGAAGCGTGTTCATTGTTTTACCCGAACAACAAACAGAGCAGACTTTCACGTGACTCAATTTTGCGATTTCATTGGCTGGTGTTTAAATTATCGGATACAAAACTGTGACGAAGTGTCGTCCCTTCTTCAACCTTTTAATAGTCCACTTCCGGTTACCTTGTGCCTCTATTTTAAAACGACTCCTCGCGCGTACAAAACCTTTCATATAAAAATGAAAATATAACCGTAGGGGAAACACATTTTCATATGAATGGTTTCGCACGAAGACTTGAGGCACAAGGCAATGAGGAATTAGTAAATTGGCAGCCTAAAGAAACATTCTAACAATCATGCAATTTTTCTATCGCCAGACTCGTATCCTTGTGACGCATGGCATCAGCTTTCTACCTCACGTGGATCACATTATTGTCCTTCAAGACGGCTTTGTCTCTGAGGTATTGTTTTCTTAGCCAGTCGTTGCATCAGCAATAGCTTTATCGGAATCACTTTCTTTTCTTTGAGTTATAAACGAGTTCGGCTTTTTTTTGTTTGTTTATTTGTTTGTTTGTTTGTTTTTTTTTTTCTTAATCTTCAAGTGGAAAGTCTAAAGTCTAAAAACGTTTGGTGTCTATTTTTAAGTTTTACATTTTTTAGCCTTGTAATAGCATATTTTTTTTTTTAATTGTAATTAAACCTTTCATACTTTTTGTATGACATGTAAAGCGCTTTTGAATATTTTATATAACTAGCACTATAAAAATGTATTATCATTATTATTATTATTATTATTATTATTATTATTATTATCATTTACTTGTGTTGTATTTATTCGTT